ACATTTGATGAAGTAGTTCATTTAACCTGTCCTAAAAACTGCAACTTTTTCCAAACCTCTTTAGTGTGAAGCTATTCATAATTAGAGTAAATTGTATGTGGTGAAGAGGCAGACGTGTGCAGGTCCTTGCTGGACGAAAGGCAATAATTTCTCCAAAAAAAAAAAAAAGAATTTAACAACAATTTCCACAAATCTCACAAAATACAATTTCATTATATATGTGCGCACGCGAGTGTATTTTTGTAATCAATGTCCCCAGTTTTGATTGAATGGCTTCCTTTTACATGCGGGTGTCTTCAACACAACCACGATAGATGGCTCTGGGAGGAAATAAACACTGTGTGTCCTCCCAAAGGAAGTATTTTTATGGATGGTGCACCAGAAGACCGCTTCTTCAGTCCTAATAGAAAAAAGAAAAATGATAATAATACAGAAGGCAAAACAACATTGCAATTAAAGGTCAGGGAAATATGAGTTTGATTCCATGGAACTTTAAATTCCATAGAGCAAAACTGGAATTTTTAAAACTCAGTCCAGTTTTTCACTCACTCAGTGCCTAGAACAGTGCCTGATGCATGGAAGGTACTAAATAAGTATTTGTTGAAAGAACAAGCAAATGCATAGCTCTGTGAAAAACTGTGATTCCAATGAGTTACTTAGTTTTAATTCCTCAACCTTCACTTTCCTCATCTCTAAAGAATCACCACCTTTCAGGGTTAGTGAAAATGTTAAACACTGTATGTAAGAAGGCCTTGAATACAGGCTCAGTAAATGTCTGTGGTTGTGGTACTGTGGTCCAGTAGATTTCCCTCAAAACATCCTGTCTGCATGAGAAACACACACATCAATTTATCCCTTGGAGGAATCTGCGCAAATGCCTTGATGCCCTCTGATAATTTTCAAAGTGATGATTAGGTTCATGAGGGAAGCAAATTATTGGTGTATGTTCATGGGATCTGGTGCATGTCAAATCCCCATGTGATTCTGGCCAGCACATATAGACGTGAGGCTTTCTCAAAAACATGTGGCAGGGGTACAGACCAGTGCAGCCTTTCTGGAAAGCAGTGTGACCGTGTTTGTAAAGAACCTCACGACCGCTTAAACCTTCTGGTCTAGGGATTCTCCTTCTGGGTTAGTCATTAAGAAAGAACCTTAGGTGCAATCAGCTGTTTGTGCTAGACTATTAATTACATCCTTATTCCTATGTAGTCCCCCAATGCTGAAATGTCCTTAGTGTCCAACAATATGATAAATTCAATGTGTACATAATTAGGCTGCCGTTAAAAATAATGACATGAAAAATGTTCAGGATGTATTGTTAAGTTAAAAATATAATAAGGGGCTGCAAAACAATAAGATGTAAAACTATTGTATTATCCCAATTTTATTCATATCAAATTGTATCAAATTCACATCAAAATTTTCTCCAATTTTAAATTAATATGCTTAGATACATTACCAAAATAACTTTACAGTAGTATAATTATGGGCAATATTTGTTTTCTTATTCTTTTTTTAAAAAATATTTTATTTATTTATTTGAGAGAGAGAGACAGAGACAGAGACAGAGAGAGAGCGAGCCAGCTGGGGGGAGGGGCAGAGACATAAGCAGGTTCCCTGCTGATCAAAGAGCCAGACACTGGGCTAGATCCTGGGACCCTGAGATCATGCCCTGAGCCAAAGGCAGAAGCTTAACCAGCTGAGTCACCGAGGTGCTCTTTCCTTATCCTTTTCTACAGATAGTTAATTTTTGCAGAATGATCACTTTTTAATAATCAGACAAAAAGTCACCAGAAACCATAATACAGAAGCCATTGGGCTTACAGAAGCTTATAATAACTTCCCAAAGTGGATAAGTGAGGCTTTTCTCACTTTCCCTAAATCTAAGAATTCTACTACTGCTTAGATCCTTCCTCGTAGAGTGAAGAGAACCTAATGAATAAATCCATACTCAGATGTGTAAGACTTACTAAAGGTGCTAATACATTATATATTAATAAAAATAACTTAAAAAAAGAAAAGGAACATGTTGGAAATAAACTGTATTATTTGAAAAAAAGTATCATCCATTTAAAAGGTCACCAGAGGAATTGATACTGCTGAGTGATTTGATGATGGTCATGTTAAAGCTTCAGTGGGAGAAAATTTCAGAGCACAGACACTTGGAGCATCTCTGAGACACACACTGCTAATCATTCACCAAATCCACAGTCTGGTCTTCTTCCTGGGCACACAAGAGTTCGCTTATTGTTTGGGGTGGATGTATTAAGTGATTTCTAACCAACAAAATGAGAGTGGAAATTATGTATAGCCCTTTGCACTTCAAGACCTGGCCCATAGGCACCTCCCACAGAAGCTCCTCAGTGGTCCTTTCTCCTGCTGGATGAGACCGTCCATGGACTCTAGAACCCCCTCTGATGGCCAAGCTTTCATTTGCCTCTGTCCCTTAAAGATTCTGGGAAGAACCATCAATTTAGATGGTTAGATGAGCAAGAAATACACTACATTTTTTTAAACTTATATAATTGGGGGCCTGTTTGCTAATGTTACTGCAGCAGGAGTTAACCTAATATAGCTACATTGTTCATGGCATACATTTGGCTGTATACACAGCATGATCAAATCCATTCTTGATGGAGAGGTGGAGATACCATTCCACAAAAGAGGTGAGGGAAAAGGTAGATAATAGATCATTTGTACCATTTCATAAGTCCCTAGAGTCCTATAGAATTTGGTTAATTTTTCTCACCTAAATGTAGTAACATGCATTGCTTTTCCATAAGAACTCTTAAGAATAAACAAAAGATCATCACTCTCTGGACTTACTTTTACCTCTTTTGACTTATTTTTGAACTTTCTTCTTCTACTTGGATGGAGGCCCCATGAGGACAAGACCTTTGATGTGTTTATTGCTGCTGCCCTGACTTTCTTGAAACATTCTAGAAAAATAAGCATACACTATGTATTGGTTAAAGATGTAAACTGATGTAATGAATGCAAGATAGATAAAGACAACTTCACCTGGTAAGGCCGACCACCCGAAACGTGGCCAGGAGCTTCCAGATGGCAGAGAGGGTTTTGCCTGACACAGACATGTGTTTGAATATAAACACATCTGATGCAGTCAATTTCTAAATTTCATTTCATGTTATAAGATGTATCTATCAAACATGGCTAGAGATCAAAGGCAGCTGACAAGTTTGCTGAGGGCAGATGTCCCTTTACTTCCCATCTTCACCACTCACAAGAGCCATTCTACCTCCCAGATAGGTTTCCAGCTTGACCTTTCACACCCGATGACACAGTCATCTAATTGCTCTCTTCTTGCTATTCCAAGCAGATGGCTCAGAATTAAATAGCCAATAAATCACAATTTCCATATGTACAGGGCTCAACTACAAGTGTTCATTTGCTCTTAAAATTGTTTCTGTTGCTGCCAAATAAGAGTCACGTAGTTAAAAGTTTGGAGTGATTAGCTAGATACATGCCCTTTTTTTCCTTTTGAGGTTATAGCTGGTGATTGTTCATTCATTTATATCTTAGGACTCTCTAGAAAAACTGAACTAAGAGATGTTCCTATATACAGGAAGAGATTTATTTTAAGTAATTGGCTTACATGATTGTGGAGGTTTAGCCAGTTCAAAATCTGATGGGGGAGGCAGACAAGCTGAAGACTCAGGAAAAAGTTATAGTTGGAATCCAAAGACCATCTGCCATAGAACCAAGAAAAGCCAGTGTTGTGGATCAGGTCAGAAGGTACAGGCTTCTGTACAGGATTCCCTTTTGCTCAGGGGAGATTAGTCTTTCATCTATTTAGATCTTCAACTGCTTAGATGAGGCCCACTCAAAATATGGAGGACAATCAACTTTACTCAAATGTTGTTGATTTAAATGTCAGTCACATCGAAAATTCCCTCATGGAAACATCCAGAATAATGTTTGACCAAGTACTTGGGCATTGTGGCCCAGACAAATTTAAACATAAAATAACACAAACATAAAATTAACTGTAAACAATTTTAAAAATAAAATTAACTGCTTTTCTTCTCATTTGTTTTTGATTGCCTTTTCTTTGATCCGATCCTCTTAGGCCCTTGGGGGTCATTATTTTTACGAGGGTCATCTAATCCCTAATCTTGCGGTGATCTGGAGAGTCTCAAGCCCACATTCCAGCTCCCCCACTGGCTAGAACATGACCACAGAACCTTCAGTTCTACCTCAGTGAATGTGGACACCTAAGTCATAGGTCTATTATAATGATCAAATGGGAAAAATATACATTGACAAGCTCTGTAAACACAAGTTCACATTGAAGGCATTATTTTAAATTGTGTTCCTATATCAAAGGTCCTACCTTTCAAACCAATGAGTGAGAAAATAGAAAACTTCTCATGTAAGGCACATTTTAGTTGTGAAGTAACAGGCTCATTGGAATAAAGAAAGATCAAGTTAATAAATCAAATTTATTCATGAGGGGGCAATGATTTTGAGGATTAGGAGAAGCCTTAACACCACAACAGATGATTTTTTTAAGACCCCAGGAACAGTGTCAAATTTAAAGTACACAGAATATCTGTATCTCAGGGCAGGGAAGTTAACATACCCTTGATGCTCCCCAGTGAATCCTGGGGAGAGCCAGACAGCATGGGAGCACCATGACAGCTGAGACAGGTAAAGTGGGGCTGTTTGTTCCTGAGGAGCCACTCAAAAATACTGGACAGAGTTTATCATCTCGCCACAGTCAATGTACAATTAACATCCCATATGTGACTTAATGTCAGATTGTTACGTAATTATCAGTGTCTATTGCTTCATGAGTCTCTACACCTCAGATTCCTGACCAGAACATTCTTTAACTCCAGAGAGTGGAGGAAATTTTGCTCTCATCTTTGTCTATGATTCTCTTAGTCTTCATTTTCAGCACCAAGACAGACCTCTTCTAACATTTAAGATTTCAGTTCCTTTTGTAGAAAATGCCCTATCCACTCTGGTACAGGTAGCCTTGCCCTCTGTCCCACCAGGTCAGTGGTCCAACATTAGTGGAGTTCCGAAGGTCAGTATCCATCAGTCTGAAAAGTAACTCCACCTGTGGAACAAAAATGGAAATTCTTTATGTTCAGGACTCTTTCTTTTCAGACCCTTCTCTCCAGAAGTTAAAAAGATCTTGCTGTCCTATCTCACTCAGGGTCACCTGTTACAAACCATGCTATTATGCACTCCTGAACACACTGTGAACAGAAATTAGTAACTATTCCTCCTTGCACCACTCCTACATGGAGTATACCATTTTCTCACTGAACTAAAGGTACTGTGGGTCCAGCAAATCACCAGAGAAACATGGCACCAAGATTCAGCAAAGAGCACATCATAATCATCTTGTGATACCATTCCTGTATGAAAAACAATGTAATTTCCTCTTACTTTGTTGATAATAAACATTTGTATCCTTAAAAGCAATGGTGTGTTTTTTCATGTGTCAGCATGGCTTTAATATTTATAATATGTGAAGATCTTTACATCTGTAATTTTTTTTTCATTCTGTGGGACCTGGAACAAAGAAGAGTTTATTGTGTGCTTTTATTCCCTTTGAAAAATGGATGGATATTTCACTTTCCTTGGTGCAGCTTTGTGCAGTAGACAGTTTCATTTCAAAATGTGCAAAAAAATCAGTTTTATGAACACTTTGCTCATATTGCTTCTCTACCACTTTCTTTAGGAATGTCCCAGTGGTGTTGTTAATGAAGAAACCTTCAAAGAGATTTACTCACAGTTCTTTCCGCAGGGAGGTAAGTGAAAATGTGGACTTGTTAACGTACTCTCCATTAGAATTATGCTTGCAATCTTGAATTTGGCTTTATCTTTTATGGCATGAGCCTACATTTTTAATCACTATGTAAAAGAATTAATACACAGCATGGAAGTGCATATAATTTCCAATGTATCATAAAAGTGAGCACCTTACAAATGATCAGATAACCAGGATTTCTCCTTCAGCTGAATGCAAGAAACAGTATTACTGTGTATCCCATACTACGGCTCTCAAACACACATCACCTTTAGGCCGCAATGGCTCAGTCCAGGATATGCTACAAAGCTCTTCAGCATGTACTGTAGGTATCATTTGATTCTTCCCACTATCAAATTAGGACAAATATAATTATCCTCAATTTTCAGATGTGAAATCTGGGCTTTAGAGAAGTTAAATGGTTTGCTCAGGGTCACACATCCACTAATGGGTGGATAATGGCTTAGAACCTAGATCTTTCTAGAGCCTCACCTAGTGTTCTTTCTGCTCTTTCTCTTTTGGGACCTCTTGTTATCACCCCTCCCCCCGCATCTGAGAAAGTTAATACCACTCTAAATATTAATTTAATTGGAAAAGAAACAAGGAAGGCGTGATGATAACACATACCTGTTGGAGATGAGTGAAGAGATCTATTTGCCCCTAGGCCTTATAAGTTCTCTTTCATTCAACAGGAGGCCCAGCTCAAACAGAGTCTACTGTGTATCCAGCTGTGTGTTAGGTGCTGATAATGAAAGAGGAAGAAGATGTGGTACCTGCCCAAAAGAATATTCCAGTTTAGTGCTGCAGATGGGCAATGTCCAAATGAGGCATTAAGTGCGAAGATAGGGGTTTAAATCACAGCATTAATGAGAGCACCGTGCAGGAACAACAGGGCGAACATAAAAAGGAAGGCATCCAGACTAATCGACCTGAGCTGTGGCAGCAGCCATTCCTGAGGTGTCCAGTATGTCCCTGGCCCTGACCCTGGCACGCACTACCCCTCACCTCCCAACTATCTTAGCTGTGACTCTCCCTTTTTAATAAATACTGATATCAAGATGCAGAGAAGCTCACTGTTTCCTTATCATCCTCTTTGACTGTTTCCTGCATAAAGGAGCCCCTATCCTCTCACACCAAAGTAACTGCAATAGTTTCTAAGTTAGTCTCTGCTTCCAACCCTTCCCTGCTCTTGCAGCACATTTTTTTTTTCTCAATAGGAGCCAGAGTAATCCTGTTCAGTGAAAGACAGCTCCTGTCACTGCTCTACTCAGAACCTTCCTTTCCATCAGAGTCTAAGCCACACCTGTCTAGTGACCTGTAAGCTGTGATCCCTGTTCCCTCTCTGTCTTGTCCTCTCCCTGCTCCTACCTTGCCCCTTTGGCTCTCTATGTTCCGGCCACACCCGCCTCCTTCTAATTCCTCAGGCACAGCTGTTGAGCTACTGTTAGGACCTTTGAACCTGTTATTCCCTCTGCCTGGGATTCTTGCTCTCCCAAATAACCATCTCAGCATCCGACCACCTTCATTCCTATTCAGATGCCACTATCTCAGCAAGGCTTTCCTGGCCACCCTATCTTAAACCACAACCCCTTGGACTCCCCATGCAAACTTTATGTTTCTCTTTAGCACTCAAGAGCACCTAATAATACATGTTTTACCTCTTTCTGTTGTTGCTTATTGTCTCTTTCCTCACTAGAATGTCTTCTCCCAGGGACCGAAGGGTTTTGTGCATTGTTCATTGCTGTGAGCACCGGTGGTAGAAAAGTCACTGACCAGTCATCAGCCTTGATTGTATTGTGTAAATGAGTGAAAGCAGGAAGGAAGGAATGACATGAGCCTCCCATGTTGGCTGGGACAGTACAATGGAATAATCTCTGCAAAAGGCATTTTGAAACTTAAATATTAGTTTCAGACAAAAATTAACTTCTCTTTTGGTTTTCAATCCATTTGGTTTTAGATACTTCAGTGGGTTGAAGACAATTTTGTGTGTGAATTGTCAAAATAGACATTTTCATTTGCTATGACCGTTAAAAGGAATTAAATTAAAAAGAATTCTTTTATAAGAACTAAATTCTTATAAAAGAATTAAATTAGAATTCTGAGAAAACACAAGGTGACCCATTATTACATGAATTTGGATATATCATGGGTGACAGTTCCCACCCACCCCATCTCATTACTAACAGTTCATGGACAGCTCTTGGTCATAGGGCCTGATGCCCAGATGTAATGGGTCCATTGTCTGCCTTAAGAAAGAATTTGGAATATCATTTGATTAACTTGTCTATTTCTAAATTATTGAAAAAACTTGGCATTTCTGAAGAAAAATCATGTTTACATTATAGCTAAGTATGTCAGCATATTGATAAACAGTAATATCAAAGCATCTAGCACAAATGGAAGTCTTTAAGTTATTTTTTTATTATCTCAAGTGAAAGTTATTGCATGCTAGAAATGGGATACAGCTCCACATTAAAAATTTATCTTTATTTGAAAAATAACATTTTGGCATTACAGAACATCTACTTAAGCACAATCCTTTGCAAATGATTCTTGTTGCAAAATCCAACGGGATTTGAGAGGAAAAAAATCACTTTGCTTTCTTAAAAATTCTTTGATTATTCATGTTAATTGAATGGATAAATCTTAAAGTACCAGGCACTACTGAAGGAAATGACATATTTTAAAGAAAAATGACTAGCAATTTAAAAAATTAATATTGCACATGCAAATTGTATCTTGCACATGCAAATTGTATCTTGCAGTGCAGCTGGAAAGAGGGATAGGTCCTATGGAAGGACAGAATCTCTGATGAGAGGCAAATTCATGTCATGGTCATCCTCACGCTTCTATGGAACCATTTATTTAGGTCTGAAAGCAACAGGTTTCTCATTATGAGCCCAAACAATGATGGGTCCATAAATCGCCACATCTCCCCATTTCCTGTAGGAAAAGACTATGTCTTCTCTACAGAACCTCCTGCAATTTGTAACGTGTCAGGCTCTTCGTTTACTCTACTGCTTCATCAGATGGTTTACCAAGCACAACCTGTTTGGTGTTCTGGATGTCAGCACAAGAGGTGTGACCAGAAGTGTCTGGTTTGTGAGGGATAAAGTATGCCTGCTGGAAAACCAGCCGAGAGGAAATGAATGGCTGGTTGGTGTCCTTCCTGGTATTATTACGGCAATACTTTTTCAACTCCACATACAGTGGAAGCTTTAGAGTGTACACTGTTAGTTCACTGACCATTTTAAAAGCTTATGAAAAGTGCAGTTTCCTGGGCTCCTCTTGCTCATGTTGTAGGGATTCTGCACCTACTTTGTCTGTATGAGGCACCTGCTAGCTATGGAAGGAACAGATGAATTAGCTCCACTCAGAAGACTAAGTCAACAAATGCCTATGGAACCATTACTGTGTGCAAGGCACTGGAGGCACTTGGACAGGGTCAGGGGCATGAAGATTTTTTTAGTAACACCAGCCATAGAATATCCTTCTTGTCCTAGGACAGTTTTTCTGAGGATTTTCAGGGTGATTTATAGAGGACTTATCAAACAGAAACTATTATTCGTGTATATGAACATGCCTTACCAGAGCAACAGTGTTTTGAATTGTATATTCAAATGCATTAAACTAATTCTGTACCTTGGGCTTGAATTCAAGTGGAGTAGTGATTTTTGGTAGGAAGAAAAAAATCAGCCAGATTGATCCACAGACCTGGATCATGATAATCAAGTACATTCTGAAATTTATTAATATAGATAGATTTTTCAATCAAAGGGTTAGTTGGTATTATTGATGTGGGTTGGAATTAAATGGGTTAAAGTCATTGGACTAAGTTGAGTCCTGGGTTTGTGGATAGATTGTCACCATCAAATGGTGACTCAAATGGTGCATTTCTGTGGGTCTCAGGTTGTTCCTCTGTAAATTGTGGAACAATACTTTTACAACATTTATAAAATGTGGAATAAAGGAGTCCTCAGTATTCTTTCCACTCTACACATTCTTTTTTTTTCTAGGAGCTGGTGTTGGAATGTCTTGATTTCATTAACAACTCTATCATTAACCAACTAGGTAATCTTAGCTAAGTCACTGAAGGTACCTGCAAAATTTTCCACCTTTGTTAAATGTAGATAAATAACTAAATGGTATCCAAGATCCCTTCCTGTCCTAAGCATCTATAAATGTTGTTCCCCAACTACAAAAGTTCTACATTTAATTTTCTACTTCACAAGTAAGATTCTAAGAAACTGAGGCAATCTCAGCATATCAAACTCAGGAACTGTTTTTGCCGTGTGTAAAGAAACATGGTCAAAGGAGACTTTCGGGTCATGTGAAGAGAAGAGAGATAGTTTTGTCTTTTTTGAGCTCCCAACTATAATGAAATCTAGAATCCAGGATGCCTGTTATTCATTGTCTTAGTAAATGTGTATTGAGTATCTAAAAAAAAAACCATCAGATGAAACCTGACCATTGATGCTTTGTGGACACTTCGCCTTTACTTCATGTATCTACCTCTGTGTCTAGTCAGAGACTTCCAGGGACTTAGCTCCTTCCTATCACTCAGTCAAAGCTCAGAACCTCACTCCCTTTCTTCAGAAACTTTCACAGTCTCCAGACGCTGTCAGAAAAAATCTGAACTCCAGCAGAAGTCACAATAACACTTCATGACATGATCCTACCAATCTTTTTTTTTTAAGATTTTATTTATTTATTTGACAGATAGAGATCACAAGTAGGCAGAGAGTCAGGCAGAGAGAGAGAGAGGAGGAAGCAGGCTCCCCGCTTAGCAGAGAGCCCGATGTGGGGCTCTATCCCAGGACCCTGAGATCATGACCTGAGCCTAAGGCAGAGGCTTTAACCCACTGAGCCACCTAGACACCCCTCTACCAGTCTTTAGTGCAGGAATTGACATCAAATTAGAACTCCAATCTAGATACACCTAGACACACAACAGAGATTTCACAAAAAAACAGGAACTTTTTCAGGTAGAAATGTATTATATCTGTAAAAAAATTACTCACATTTCTTTAAGGTGGTTGTCTGTGAAACAATAATTATAATAGATAATATTTATTGAACATTTAATATATGCTTAGGACTGTCTAAGCACTTTGCATATTAATATCTCATTTAATCTTTTTGGGATGACCCTATGAAGTACATACTGGTGTTATCATTTTGTAGATGAGGAAACTGAGTCCCAGAGAGGTTAAGCAACTTTCCCAAAGCCATGAAGTTGATGTTTGGTAGAGCTGAAATTCAAACCCAGGCAGTTCAACTTCACTACACTAGTGACAACTGCTGTCTGCACACTATATCTGGGCTGGAAAACTGGTTTAACTTCCAGGGGACTTGCCAAGATACGTTTATAGGAACAAGGAGTCCTCTATATCACATCAGGGCAAACCTTGATCTGTCCCATGTGTCAAGCTTTAAAGCAAGAGTGACCCCATTTAAGAAGAAAGCTAATTACTGTATGTTCATGTTAGCTTATTTTCTTTTAATTTAAAAAAAAATTGCCAACATTGTTTGTTCTGAGCCATTATTCATGTTAAATCCTGCTTGCTAAGGTAAAGGCGTGTACCCTGATTGTCTAAATAGGATACCAAGAGACCTACTTAATGGAAGCTCATTATAAAATATGCAAAATCTCTTTTTTTCTCCGTCGGAAAGTAAGTTTAACATAACGCCTGTCAACTCCTATCACCATAAGGCACTAAATAGTTCAAGAAGTCTGTGTAACAGCACTGTTGAGAGCAAAACAACTTTGTGAATAAAAACAGGCTGCCGATTCTTGACAACTCTGTAATGGCACTTCCCAAGAACGGTACGAAATCGATTATAACCAAATCCCTAGTAATAACCTATAGTCAAAAGTATTTCTTTCTGCAACTCATCAATACTGTGTGGACATTCACTCAAGACACAATTACAGGACATATTATTTAGACCCAATTGTGGTCCCTGGTTAGTTCATAGACAACAGTGTTAATAACTCCTATGTTTAAAAACAAGTGGTTTCATACAGTGTATTTAAAAGAGGTAAAAGACAATGCCACCATCATTTTGAGAAACTGAGTGTACAGTCTACCTTATAAAATATATGGTCTCCAATAGCATTTACCACTGGGGTAGAGCATTCAGGAAAAACCATCCACAAGTGGGCCATGGGTGCTTGAGAGCTGGGAGGGAAGTTTCTATGACCTCTGACCTCTCTTATTTGGGAAGGGCGATCCTCTCCTCCTGCTACTGTGACTTAGTTTCTTGACAGCCTTTAAAAAGGCAATTTATAAAGTAAAAGGTGAATAAGAAGTTTTGTTCAATCCCAATAAAAAGTAAAGGTTAAAAGTTATAAAATAGAAACAGATGAAATTTTAAACAAAAGATAAAAGCCTGGAGCCAATGAGCTGAAAGGTTATTTTTTTTTCCCCTAATATAAAAAAGGTTAAGGTAAAAGCCTGAAACCATGAGATGAAACATCTAAAATAATCAAGTAAATTTGATCAAGGGTCAAGAACAGAAGCACTGAAAAATGAAAACTGCACTGAGAGAAGAAAACGGCAAGAAAAAAATATACTTTTGGAGTATCTGGGTGACTCAGTGGGTTGAGCCTCTGCCTTGGGCTCAGGTCATGATCTCAGGGTCCTGGGAATGAGCCCCGCATCAGGCTCTCTGCTCAGCAGGGAGCATGCCTCCCCCTGTCTCTCTGTCTGCCTCTCTGCCTACTTGTAATCTCTCTCTTTCTCTCTCAAAAAAATAAAATAAAATCTTAAAAAAAAAGAAAAAATATACTTTTAACATGAAAAAGTAGAAAGCTCAGAGATGAAGGGAGGCCACGGAGAAAAGAAGAAGAAGAAAAATGGGAAAACCCATCAAAAGCAAGCTCAGTGGAAGCATTGGATCTCAGATATACTCCAGAGTTATCAGGCAGCATTGTGAGGTGCTAGGGACGGAGCCCTGTCCCAAAATGCCCACGGTTACCCAAGCCGTGAATCCCACCCAAGGCCCAGGGGCCCTCAGGACCCCACACTCCTACCATGGCCACAGAAACTTCCCAAGTCACTCCTGTCCTCAGTTCATCAGGCCACTTCACTGGCTGTGGGCTAGCCTGATTTTCCAGTCAGAAGGACTCCGTTTCATCCTGCTTTACTCCTAATTGACTGTGTCACTCTGGGCAAGTTTCCTAAGCTCTCTGAGTCCCTAGCTTTATCTGAGTTGTAAAAATGACAAACACATTCATAAGCACAAAACTAAAAATGCCAATTCATGTGTGTCTCACTATTAGTATTGTTTTTAATTAATTTATTTATTGGAGAGAGCAAGAGAGCAGGGGAAGGGTAGGGGGAGGGGGAGACTGAGAGAACCTCAAGCAGACTCCCCGATGAGTTCCAAGCACACCTGGGTGCTTGACCCTGAGATCACCACGGGAGCCGAAATCAGGAGTCAGATGCTCAAACGACTGAGCCACCCAGGCACCCCTCTCTCTTAGTATTTTTATTACTTTACTTGTAGAGATAGCCCCTGCCAAGCACCAAACAATTTCCACATGCGTCTCACTTATTCCTCACGCCCACCTATGGTACAATTACTCATCTCAGCACCAGAAACACCACCCAAGACACCCAGGTGCTCAGAGCATTTCTAGCCACAACCTTACAGAGAATGTGTATCATCAATGGCCTCTGTGTGAGGAGCTCACTCTCAGGAATCTCAAATTACAATCCTCTCCAGAATGAAGGTGCACAGCCAGGAAGAAAGCACAAGTACAGGAGATGGAGTAAATTTTCCTAAATAAGAGGAGGCTTCGGTGTGCTGTGCCAGTCTTCAGTAGGATATTGAAATGCTGCTTTAGGGGTGCCTAGGTGGCTCAATTGTTAAGTTCTGCCTTTGGCTCAGGTCATGATCCCAGGGTCCCGGGATTGAGCCCTGCATCAGGGTCTCTGCTTAGCGGGAAGCCTGCTTCTCCCTCTCCCACTCCCCCTGCTTGTATTTCCTCTCTCGCTGTGTCTCTCCCTGTCAAATAAATTAAAAGAAAGAGAAAAAAAGAAAAAGAAAGAAAGAAAGGAAGAAAGAAAGACAGACAGACAGGAAGGAAGACAGGAAGGAAGGAAGGAAGGAAGGAAAGAAAAGAAAAGAAAAGAAATGCTGCTTTAATAATGCTCCCTTTCCAACATTTCAGACTCGACAACGTACGCACACTTTCTGTTTAATGCGTTTGATACAGACCACAATGGAGCTGTGAGTTTTGAGGTGAGTCTTAAACCATTTTTTAATATATGATTTGACTTTAGACACATGGGAAGAGATTTAGACTATTTACAAGGAAAATCTGAGTTGGTAGTTTGATAACTTTTTTTTTTCTTTTTGAGACTTTTATTCTTATTATTATTGCTGCTGTTATTATTATAGATCACTGAGCATGAGAGCTACCTTAACAGAATTGTGTGTTATTACAATGTTGTTGACTATAAGTACAATGCTGTACAGCACATCCCTAGAGTTTATTCCTTTTCCTTAACTGAAACTTTATGCTCATGGGTCACTGCTCATACCCCCTGCTCCAGCCGCAACTGAACTCTAGGATTTTGATTATTTAGATAATTCCTGTCGGTGGAATCACGCGGTATGTGTCTCTCTGTGATGGCTCAGTATGCCCTCAGTTTCATTCATGTTGCTGCATATTGCACATATTTTTTTTTCTTTTTAAAAATAAATAGTATATTCCATTGTGTGTGTAAACCACATTTTCTTTATCCATTCATTCGTCTCTGGATATTTATGCTGTTTCCACACCTTAGATGTTGTGAACAGAGCTATAATGAATATGGAAGTCTAATATCTCTTTGAGATCTTGATTTCAATACCTCTGGATAAATATCCAGAAGTGGGATTACCGAATCACATTGTATTTTTTTTTTAATTATTTGAGGAAGCTCCCTACTGTTCTCCATATAGTGGCTGCACAGCTATGATTCCCACCAACAGTGTGCAATTGTTCCAATTTACTCACATCGTCAACACTTCTTATCTTTCATTTGTTGGATAATAGCCATCCTGATGGGTTGAGGTGCTATCTTATTGTGGTTTTTATTTGTATTTCCCTGATGACTGGGGATGTTGAGCATTTTTTTCATATACCTGGTGGCCATTTGGATATATTCAGAGTCATGCACATTCAAGTCCTCAGCTTATGTTTTAATTGGGTTGTTAGATATTTACTATTGAGATGAAGGACTTTCTTATATATTTTGGAGATAGCCCTTTATCAGATACATGGTTTCCAAATATTTCTTCCCATTTTGTAGGTTGCTTTTTCACTCCACTGATTATATCCTTTGTTGCTCAGAAGGTTTTTAATTTAGCACTTGTTTATTTACTCTTTGTTGCCTCTGCTTTTGGAATCATATCATGAAATCATTGCCAAGACCAATACCATGAAGTTTACCCCTCAGGTTTACTTTTAGGAGCTTTATGGTTTCAGGTCTTATGTTTAAGTTTTAATCTATGTTGAATTGATAATTGTATACGGGATAAGGTTAGGATGGAATTTCAATCTTTTGGGTGTGGTTATCCAGTTTTCCTAATACAATTTGTTGAAGAGACTATCCCTTCCCTTTCCCATTGTGTATTCTTGACATCCTTGTCAAAGATCATTTGACCATATATGTATGGATTTACTTCTAAGCTTCCTATTTTGTACCATTGGTCTTGATGTCTGTCTCTATGCCAGTACCACAGTGTTTGGATTCTATAACTTTGTAATATACTTTGAAATCAGGAATCAGGATGCCTCTAGCCCTGTTCTTTCTTAAGTATTGATTTGAATGTTTGTGGTCTTTTGTGGTCCCATATGAATTTTTTTCTACCTGTAGAAAATACCACTTGGGATTTTGATAAGGTTGTAGTGAATCTGCAGATAGCTTTGGGTACTATGAATATTTTAACAATATTAATCCTTCCAACTCATGAACTTACCATTGTTTGTGTCTTCTTTAATTTCTTTCATCAGTGTTTTGCAGTTTTTAGTACTCAAGCTTTTCACCTCCTTAGTTAAATTTATTCCCATTTTTTTATTCTACTCTTTTTGGTGCTATTGTAAATGGGATCAGTTTCCTAGTTTTCTTCTCAGATAATTCATTGTTGGTGTATAGAAACACAATAATTTTTGTATGTGATTTTGTATCTTGCAACTTTACTGAATTTATTAGTTCTAACAGTTTTTTGGTATAATTGTTAGGATTTTTTTACATATAATATCATAACACCTGATTTATCTTTCTTGCCTAATTTCTCTGGCTAGGACTTCCAATACTCTGTTGAATAAAAGTGGCAATATTGGGCGTCCTGCCTTGCTCCTGATTTCACAGGGAAATCTTTCAGTTTTTCATCATTGAGCATGTTGTTAACTGTGGGCTGGTCATAAATGGCTTTCATTATGTGAAGATGCTTTCCTTCTATTCTTAGTTTGTTGAGAGTTTTTATCATGAAAAAAAGTTCAACTTTGTCAAATGCTTTTTCTGCGTCTGTTGAGATGATCATGTGATTTTTCTTCTTTACTCTGTTAATGTGGGATAGCACATTAATTGATTTTTATATGTTGAGCCATCTTTCCATCAAAGGAATAAAGATACTTGGTTATGTTGTATGATCATTTTAATGGGCTGTTAGAATTTTCTGGGGTTTTGTTGAGGATTTTGGATGTATATTTATCAAGAATATTAGTCTGTAGTTTTCTTTCCTTGTGATACCTTCATCTGGTGTTGGTTCCAGGGTACTGCTGACCTCATAAATGAGTTTGGAAATATCCCTTCCTCTGCAATTGTTTGGAAGAGTTTGAAAAGGATTGTATTAGTTCCTTAAATGTTTGGCAGAATTTACCAGGGAAGCCACGTGGTCCTGCTTTTTTTGTTGAGAGATTTTTTGATTACTGATTCAATCTCCTCATTACAGGTCTGTTCAGATTTTCTATTTCTTTATGATTCAGTCGTGGTAAGTTGTATGTTTCTAGAAATTTATCCACTTTTTTCCTAGGCTATTCAGTGCATTGGAGTAGAATTGTTCATAATAGTCTCAGGATTCTTTTGATTTCTACGGCACCAGTTGCAATGTTTCTTCTTTCACTTCTGGTTGTCTTATTGAGTCTTTTCTCTTTTTGTTCTTAGTCTAGCTAAGAGTTTGTCAATTTTGTTTATCTTTTCAACCCCATCATTCAGAAGCACTGGTGAAAACGTGGACTTGCAATTGGCATCTGAATTAGGGGAGGGCAGTCTTGTAGGACTGAGCCCTTAACCTGTAGGATCTGGCTGTATCTCCAGGTAGAAAAGGTCAGAGTTGAGTTAAATTATAGGACACCCAGCTGGTGTCAGAGAATTGCTTGGTTGTGTGGGGCAATTACACACACACACACACACACACACACACACACACACACACACACATTGGAATTGGCTACAGAATCATAAATATGTATTATGTATAAGGGAAACAAGGTAATTGGAGATGATTTACTTTGGGGGAGTAGAGGAAGGGAATCTTATATGTGATCAGAAATTGCACTGAGTGACATGATAAGTGGCAGATGATGGAGTGGGATCAATAAGGAAAGGTAATGATAGGGCTGTATCAAGGAAGCATGCCCATGGAATTGATGGACAAGATATGAAGGACAAGCACAAGCTAGTTAAGAGTAAGCACTCAGGATGGAAAGCAGGGAGAGTGAGTCAGAGGCAGAGCCTGGGAATGAAGAGAAAGCTTTTATAAATCACCTAAAAGTTAGAATACAAAGGGAAAAGGCCAAAAAGGAAGACTGGATGAGGAGGCAGAGGCCAGCTCCTGACCACTTAAGGCAGGATGATAAGGAGGCTGGATTCTCTTGTGCGAGGTGAGGAGTCCTTAAGGAATTTTCAGCAGGGGAGTCATGGGATCAGGACTATGTTAGTAGAAACAAGAAGTTTATTTAGCATCTATGTATTCCAAGAATCCTAACAGGAGCTAACTTAAGCCCAAACTATAATTGAGGCATTGGTGATGAGAAGGAGGAGATGAGCTTAGGAGATATTAAAATTAAGTTAATAGACTTATTTTTCAACAAAATTTGCCATGTTTCAAAGGGGGAAAGTCCAAGAGAGCATCGCTGGCTATGTAGGAGCAGGGACATTGAGGAATCAGGATGAGAGAAGAAAGCATTGCCTTCCAGGCTATCAGTCAGTGGCCCCAGGAGCAGGGTTCCCAGAGCAGCAAAGTGTCTCCTTGCATGTACTAGGTACTCCTGCAGACTGAGTGCACCTAAAATAAAGACTCTAGGCCAGGAAGCTCAACATGATATCTCTTATAACTAAACCAAGAAATAGCATGGCGGAGAGAAGAGTAGAAGCCAGCAGTGACTGAGTAGAAGGTCCAGTAGACCAAGAAACTTGCAATGGTAGAGGCAAAGGCAGTTGGGTTTGTCTTGGTTGTGGCAGTAGCAATGGAGGACCTGTGGGAGCATCACAGGTAACATCTGTAACATTTCTTCTGTGGATGGCAGTTTCAGATCACCCCATGATAATCTGGTCTTAGCATTTGCAGCACTTCAGCAACAAGATTAATTCCAGCACAGCTTTCGTGTAGCAATAACATTGAAGTCAATGGTCCCAGTTCACCTAATAAAATCTTTCATAGCTAGTTTGCAAAAATCGAATAGGGTAAAAAATACTAATGATTCCATTACTAGAAATTACTTATGTATCAGAAATGTTCCATCAATTACCTATAGCACATTGTACCCAATTTCAGCATGTAAATTTAGTCTGGTGTTAATGATATGGGAACAGGCATAACATTGCTATTACAATATTTATGTAAAATGTTGGTAATTGTGATGAACATTGATTATAATTTGGGAAATTAGTTGTAATGACTATATATTATAAGCATGTTAGTAATATGTATTTTCCTTTAAAAGCAAACTAATGGCTGAATTAATAAATGTTAAATCAAAATCAAATTTAACACTAGGCTATCATAATTATTTTTCTAAATCGATTAGCTACCTGGAAAGTCTCTAGGAAACAGAAATGATTAGGCAATGAACATATTTTGAGTAACAGTAGCATCTTAGGAGGTATAACAGAGACCATTCTGATTCTACAATAAAGAGAAAAGGAAGTTTTCTACTTAATTTTCTTAAACTCAAAAGGGCAGAGTGAATAGGACCAGGGAACAAGGGAGTGGGGTGGTGCCTGTGTCTAGCTCTGACTGGGCCCAATCCC